TGAGCCGGACACCCCCATATGCGAATATGCTTCAAAACTAGCTTTCGACCATTCCACAACTTTAGGGGTGTCTTTGGTATAGACTTAAATGGTACTAGATTCAGAGTATACATGGTGGTTCTTAGGGCATAATCCCATAAGGAAGCAGGAAGTGAAGAATAACTCAACATTGATTTTATCATGTCGAGCAAAGTCTGATTTCTCTTTTCGGCTACACCATTTTACGGTGGTGTACCGGGTGTAGTCAATTGGGATACCACACCTTCTTCAATTAAGAAATCTCAAAACTCTTAGTCTAGGTATTTACCCCCTCGATCTAATCAAAGTGTCTTGATTGGTTTACCAAACTATTTTTCAACTTATGCTCAGAATTCTCTAAACTTTCTAAAAGTTTCATATTTCCGTTGTATTAGGTAAACATAACCATATCTCAAATAATCATCAATAAAAGTGATAAAATATTTGTAATCTCATTTATCTTGGACGTTTAACAGTCCACATACATCCGAATGTATTAGCTGAAGAGGTTCTGTGGCTCTTTCTCCTTTCGACATGGAAGGCCCCGTGGTCATTTTGCCTCCCAAACAAGATTCATAGGCTAGAAGCTTACTAACTTTTAGTTAGCGTAAAGGACCATCCTTTACCAGTCTTTAAATCTTGTTTAGGCTAATATGACCAAGTCTAAGATGTCACATATATATGTGTTATTTATCGTGAGAGATCCTTTGCTTCTTATTCTTAGGTTCAGCAACTTTTTAAACTTTTCAATATTTCGCAGTGAGCCAGGCATCGGTTTAAACGGTATAAACCATTTTCTAAATATCCAGAACATATATCAGAACAATTCCGAAAGATGTGGACTAGATTATTATTAAAGGCAATTGTTCAAATAATTTGGAATTAGAAATCAAATTTCTCTTTATGCTTGGAGGGAAATAAACATTGTTCACAACAAGGTATTTCCAAAATTGAAGTCTAACTTCTCCCACTGCTTTTGCCAATATCCTCGTGGTATTCCAACTTTTATCGTGTAGTCCCTGATGGTATGTTCTTTGTACGAACTAATACTTTACAAAGAAAATCAAAACATGATTAGTTCCTCCCGAATTAACTATCCAGGACGAGGAATCACCCTCTACTAAAGATGTTTCTAGAATTAGTAAATCTTATTTACTTTGATTCATTTTCTTTGTTTAGGTGGAAACAATTTCCATTTAAGG